AGGGAGAATCAAGTGGCTGATCAGAGGGGGACTGCAGGGATCTCTTTGCTGGTGCTGAGGCAGGAACCTCTTGCTTTGCCCATGATTGGATCTGGGTCACAGTTCTGGGTGGCAGTCCTGGGGGGAGGAGGAGCGCTAGTGCGGTGGAGCTTGTAGTGGCAGTAAAGAGGAAACCCTCCTCACAGTTCCAAGAGAGAAAAGACTGCGTGTGGCTGGTCACTCAAAGACCAGAGCACAGGCCAGGAAAAGAGTAACACCTCGACCCTTATCATACCACCTTGGAAGAATTGAAAATTTACAGGTCCCTAGAAGTTTCTCTGAAAACAGCTATACAAACCCCTGAAGCTTGGGACAGTATATTCTCCACATTGGAAGCAGACTCTTACCTTAACAAAGAGTTTAAAACTCAAGTAGTTGGCTGGGATCATGAGCAAACCTCACAAAAAGAGTCAGACTATATTATCTTACTTTGGTGACAAAGAAGATCAAAACATACAACCAGAAGAAGACAACAAAGTCAAAGCTCCTACATCCAAAGCCTCCAAGAAAAATATGAATCCATCCCAGGCCTTGGAAGAGCTCAAAAGGGATTTTGAGAAGCAAGTAAGAGAAGTAGAGGAAAAACTGGGAAGAGAAATGAAGTGATGCAAGAAAATCATGAAAAACAAGTCAACAGCTTGCTAAAGGAGACCCAAAAAAATACTGAAGAAAATAACACCTTAAAAATAGCCTAACCCAAATGGCAAAAGAGGTCCAAAAAGCCAATGAGGAGAAGAATGCCCTAAAAAGCAAAATTGGCCAAATGGAAAAGGAAGTCCAAAAGCTTACTGAAGAAAATACTTCCTTAAAAATTAGAATAGAGCAATTGGAAGCTAGTGACTTTATGAGAAATCACGACACAGTAGAACAAATCCAAAAGAATGAAAAATTAGAAAACAATGTGAAATATCTCATTGGAAAAACAACTGACCTGGAAAATAGATCCAGGAGAGAGAATTTAAAAATTATTGGACTATCTGAAAGCCATGATCAAAAAAAGAGCCTAGACATCATCTTTCAAGAAATTATCAAGGAAAACTGCCCTGATATTTTAGAACCAGAGGGCAAAATAGAAATTGAAAGAATTCACCGATCTCCCCCTGAAAGAGATCCCCAAAGGAAAACTCCTAGGAATATTGTAGCCAAATTCCAGAGTTCCCAGGTCAAGGAGAAAATATTGCAAGCAGCCAGAAAGAAACAATTCAAGTATGGTGGAAACACAATCAGGATAACACAAGATTTAGCAGCTTCTACATTAAGGGACCAGAGGGCATGGAATATAATATTCCGGAGGGCAAAGGAAATAGGATTACAACCAAGAATCACCTACCCAGCAAAACTGAATAATCCTTCAGGGGAAAAATGGTCATTCAGTGAAATAGAGGACTTTCAAGCATTCTTTATGAAAAGACCAGAGCTGAATAGAAAATTTGACTTTCAAATACAAGACTCAAGTGGAACATGAAGAGGTAAACAGGAAAGAAAAATCATGAGACTTATTAAGGCTGAACTGTTTACATTCCTGCATGAAAAGATGATATTTATAACTCATGAGATCTTTGTCAGTATTAGGGTAGTGGGAGGGGAAAAATTATATGTATGGATAGATGATAGATAGATAGATAGATAGATAGATAGATAGATAGATAGATAGGTGAGTTGAAGATGAAGAGGTGATATCTGGAGAATAAAATTAAGGGGTGAGAGAGGATTATACTAGGAGAAGGAGAAAGGGAGAGGTAGAATGGGGTACATTATTTTGCACAAAACAGACAATAAAAGGTTCTTACAGTGGAGGGGAAACAGGGAAGGTGAGAGGAAATGAGGGAATCTTATTCTCATAGGATTTGGCTTAAGGAGGGAATAACATACACACTCAATTGGGTATGGAAATCTGTCTTACCCTACAGGAAAATAGGGGAGGAAGGGGACAAGAGAGCAGGGGGATGATAGAGAGAAGGGCAGATTGGGAAAGGGTAATCAGAAGGAAGTACTTCTGAGGAGGGACAGGGTCAAAAGAAAGAATAGAATAAATGGGGGGGCAGTATAGGATGAAGGGAAATAGAGTTAGTTTTTCACAACTTGTCTACTATGGAAGTGTTTTGTATAACTGCACATGTATAGCCTGTATTGACTTGCCTGCCTTTTCAATGAGGGTGGGTGGGGTAGAAGGAAGGGAGAAAATTTGGAACCCAAAGTTTTAAAAATACATGTTTAAAAAAAAGGTTTCCACATGCAACTGGGAAATAAGAAATACAGGAAATGAGGTACAGAAATCTATCCTAGAAAGAAAAGGGGATAAGAGAAGTGGTGGGGGGGGGAGATAGAAGGGAGGGCAGACTAGGGGAACGGGTATTCAGAATGCATGCCATCTTGGTGTGGGGGGAGGGGCAAGATGGCGTGAAAATATGGAATTCAAAATCTTGTGGAAGTAAATGTTGAAAACTAAAAATAGATAAATTTATATATTTAAAAAAAAAAGATGCACCAGCCCCATTCAGGGAAATCTGTGGCTGAAGAAACTGGCCAGAGGAGTCAAGTGAGGCATTTAGGGATACAGCCCATGAGGAGCTCAGAATAAAGGTAAAATTATGTTGCACAGGATTTAAAAATGAAAGGGAAAAAAACCCTGCTACTTTCATGAACATTGAGATAGGCAATGAGAGGACAGTAGCAAGGAAAGAAAAAAGGCTTAGTTTATAGAGAGAGTAACTGCAAACCTCAGCCTAGGTCCAGTTTTGGGGGTCAGTGATCTGTATCTGCTGTCATCAGCTTCTCTGCCAGGGGGGTCTTGGGAACAGCTGTCTGCCTCAGATGTCAGCTGCTTCAGACTCTGTTTGATTTTCAAGGTGAGGTCACCAGTAGGTTCCACAATCCAGATGGGCGGTACTGCCTTTTTTAGATGTGACAGGTGGATCCAGGACTCCAATCCCTGCAGTTTGTAGGCAGTGGGGTGGTGAGCAGGACTTCAAGGGGACCTTCCCATTGTGGCTGTTTGTGGAGGTGGCGTTTCTAGTAAACCCAGTCACTGGGTTGGATCAGGAGCCTAGTCTTCATCGGAATTCCCAAAGAATGGGACTGCAAGATGAGTGGGTGATTTTCTGATATTTTCTGAGCCAACCAGTACAGTATTATAGGAGGGAGCATTTGGCTGTTATGTTTTCTCCCATGGGTACAGTGGCATGAGGCATCGTCCTGTTACTATCTCATAGGAACTGAGCTTGTGGGAACCAAATGATCTAGATCTAAGGCCTAGCAGGTCTAAAGAAGGACTTTGGGCCAGGGTATACCTAGCTCTTCAGAGAATTTAGCTAGAGAGGTTTTAAGTATCACATTAACTCAACCATTTCTGGTGCTTGAGGATGGCAGGCACAGTGGAGGTGCTGAGTGATTGGCCAGGGTGAAAGCAGCTTAGCTAAATGAAGCTCCTGTCAAACGGGTGCCTCTATTACTATGTATTTCTTTAGGAACCCCCTCCCCCCATAGTGGAATAACTTTTGCTATTGTCACATAGGCTGTGACAATACAACAGAACACTTTTACCCACAGGGAGAACAGACTATAACCAAGGCATATTTGTAAGCATGGGTGGGTGGCAATCGAATGAAGTTGTTCTGCCAGGTTTTCAAAGAGCACGTCGGGCAGAGGAAACTGCCCGTAAGCTGGCTTCAGAAGCTTGCCTGATAATAATGCTGGAGGAGTTTTTACAGGGCTGCTGCTGCCACTTATAAGATGTGTTCCACCTGCCCCAAGCACAATGCCCTAGATTTTGCCATGACATTGTTATATTACAGTTAACCCATTCATTTTCCCTGTGATCAAAGTGGACTTCATTGGATGATACCACAGAAGAGGTGAGCACAAAGCTCATTGATCATAGAATGTGAGGACTTAGCCTTTGAGTTTGGGCTTGGGAGTCAGAAGATATGGATTGCAAACCCTGGCTGTGCCAATTCCCTGTGGCACCCCAACAAGGGTCTCTGTGCCTCACTTTGTTCATCTGCAACTGAGAGGGTGTGATGACAGCCCCTTCCTGATCTAAGTCCATGATTTTATGATGCACTCCATTAGCCTATCTTGCCATGTTTAGACCAATTTCATGTGAGCATTGGATCACTTTCAACATGAATTAAAATTCAGACATTTCTAGGTGGTCACATGTGATGTGTCTGGAAGAGTTGGCTGTCTGCCCCATAGCAGGGTCACCTCTAATCTACTGTCCTACACCAGGCATCCTAGTCATGGAGTTGTTCACTGAACATTGCTTTTGTGAAGAGATGGCTAGGAGGAAAATCAAAGATAAAGAAGAGGGAAGACAATGAGAGGGGACACATTTAAAGGGGGAATGGAAAGTTGCAAGTTGACTCCTTCCTTCCTGGGGTCTCCCTCCATTATTACATTGAGGTGTCTGGGGCTGAGGGCACCCTAAAGAATTATCTTGGCTGCTCCTGCCCTGAGTTTCATTGATGGGGACTGAAGTTGCAGCCAAGTTCAGAGTGCTTGGGAAATTCCTTTCTTGACAACAGTTAGCAACAGGGTGAAATGACTGAGAAGAATAAGGGATGCAGGTATAGACCTGGCTGGAGGGCAAGCCTAGCACTGTAGACAGTAGGGGCTAATCACATATTTGCTAAATCTGCCCAATGTAAGTTGAAAGGGGGATTGAGGTGCGTAGCTGAGAAGACTCACAGAATCACAGACACTCAGCTGGGAACATCCTTTTCTTCTTCATAGGGCCATAAATCTAGAGGTAGAGTAAACCTCCAAGGTCCTCTAGTCCAGTGGTGTCAAAATGGAAGAGAAATGAGGGGAAGGGAGTGGTGCAGGGGAGCACTAAACTGTACATAAGGATCTCTGTGGGCATATTTTAACTTAGAAAACCACACACAAACATTATCTCTGTTTTATTGTATTTTATTTTAACTATTTTCCAATTCCATTTTCATCTGGTTTGGGTTGTACTTGAGAGTGTTGTGGGCCTCAGGTATCCAGGTCTTTCTTTCCTCTGGTCTAGTCCAACCCCTCCATATTTTAGATAAAGAAATTGAGGCCCAGAGGGTGATTTGGCCAAGGTCACTCATGGCTAGTACTGTTTCTTACTGGTACATTCAGAAATCATCCACTCTAGCTGTGAAGGAGGAAAAGGGAAGAAGTCTGCTTTAAGAAAACCCCAAGCAAAATAGTCACATATGCTTACTGCTATTATTGCCTTTCCCAGAACATGCTCTGGGCAGACAGACACAATGCTCAAACAGTGTAATTCCTCTGAGACAGGACTGTCATCTTCATGATCCTGTCCATGAGGGATCAGAGACTGGAGGAGGGGAATGGCTATTGCTCCTGCATCTTCTGCCTACACCCCCAGCACTATTAACCTTACTTTAATGCCAGATGTGGAGTTTCAAAGTAGCCATTTACTTGGCTGTCCCTTTCTCCTAGTTTTGTGGGATTTCATAAATCCCAGATCCCTTGAAGTTGGGAGACCATAATAATTTCCTCCTCACCTCATTCATTTTCCCCCTGCCCTCTGAAAGTACTACACCATCTGTTTTCATCTTTTCAAAGGAGATTGCCTCCCATTACAACCTTGAGAGTCACCCTGCATTCCTCACTTTCCCATCACCCCTCTCTGACATATCAAATCAATCACAAAGTCCTTTGGATCATATTTCTATAACAGTCTCTCGTGAATGGCATCCCTTCTCTCTACTAACAGCCAACACAATAGCTCCAAAGCTGTCTCCTCTGGACATTTCCAACCTATCTCACATATACCTTCAGTTTCAGTGCCTATACTTCCTCTAAGTGTCTCATGTTATGATTCCAGCTTACACAGGGACATTCATTAGTCCTCTGGTTTCACTGGTATAGGAACACTCTCTGCCAATGTAGGTTGCCACCTACTCTGCAACTTAGAATCTTAGAGAATCTCCTACAGCTCTGAGATATTACATGACTTGCCCAGGGTTACATAGATAGCAGAGGTGTCACAGACAAGCCTTGAGGCCAAGTCTTCAAGTCTTCAAGGCCGTCTTATTCATTACAAAGAGCTGCCTTTCAACCTGCCTAAAGCATATCTCATTAGCCAGATCTTCCTAGTTGGTTTGGCTTTTGATAATCAATTTGCCTCATTAATGACTTCAATGATGACAATAAAAGCTGACACATACTTAGCATTTTTATGTTCATGAAACACTACATATGCACTATCTTATTTTCTCTTCAAAAAAACATTTCCATCACTATTAAGTGGAGAACTTAAGGCTCAAAATTAAGTGATTTTTTTTTATCCATTGGTAAAAAGTTGGGTTGTTATCTTATGTCCTCTAAATACAAATCCCCATGAGCCTCAGTCACATGGACCAAGCTCAACCTGGATCCTGGTGCTGGATCTCCATGCTCCTGGGTCCTCTCCATTTGACTTAATTTGTCTTTTATTCTGACTTTCCTCACACCTGCCCTCACTTGTCTCCTTTACCCAGATGCCCAATTATTGGCCCAGTTGAGATGACAGGTATACTTCTTTTTTCAGTTACAAATATAATAATAATAATAATAATAATAATGATAGTAGGGTAGTAATAATAATAGCTAACATTTCTATAGCACTTACTATGGGCTAGGCAATGTGCTAAGCACTTTAAAATCATCTGATTTGATCCTCACATTAAGCTTGCAAAATAGATGCTACTATCATCCCTATTTTAGTGATGAGGAAACTGAAGCTAACAGAGTTGAAATGACTTGCCCAGGGACACACAGTTATTAAGTATCTGAGGCCACATTTGAACTCAAGTATTCCTGACTTCAGGTCCAGGACTCTATCAACTGCATCACTAAAAGCTATATCCTTTTCCCTTCCACTGTTTATTTTTTAAACTACAAATGAAGCTTGGAAAGATCTATGTGAACTGATGCAGACTGAATTAAGCAGTGCCAAGAAAACAATATACACAATGACTATAACAATGTAATCAGAAAGAACAGTCATAAATAAAATCAATATTGGACATTGTAAAACCATAACGAGCAAGCATGGCTTGAAGGTAGAGACATGAGAAGATAACCCCACTCCTTTGTAGAGATGAGAGGTTTACAAGTATTGTACATTGCATCTATTTTCAAACTTTTTTTGATGTATTGATCTGTTAGACTTATTTTTTTCCTCTTCTATTTAACTTTCTGTGTTTAAAAAATAGTTGTTATATGGGATGACTCTCTGGGAAGGGAAGGGATACTGGGAGAAATTACAGGGGGCAGGTAGGTGGCACAGTGGATAGAGCACTGGCCCTGAAGTCAGGAGGACCTGAGTTCAAATCTGGCCTCAGACACATAACACTTACTAGCTGTGTGACCCTGGGCAAGTCACTTAACCCCAATTGCCTCACCAAAAAGAAAAAGAAAAAAAGAAATTACAGTGATGTTGAAAAAAACAAAAGATATCAATAAAAGCTTATTTCAAAAAATAAAAAGGGGAAAAGATTTGAATGATACAGTTGGAATGATGTGGCATTTAAGAAGTTTGAGAGACATAATTTCTGTGTAATTGAATCATTTTATTAATAATGTCAGTATTTTTAATACATGTCTAGTGGTGTTCTAGAATGCCAAAGGCAATCATGCCAGGTAGGCTCATAACTTCTATGCCTTTTGGAAGAGAAGTGTTCCTGAGGGTGGTAATAAAAAATGATGGGTCAACAGTTAATGAGAAGTGGGCTTTACAAAGAGAAGCGACATCATGTCCCTCTTAGAGAGACAACCCCCAGATTTGGGCAATCTAGACAAACTGTGTCCTTCAACCAAGCCTGAGTTAGTTGGGTGGAGGAGCAATACCCAGAATGAGGAGAATGTTAATCCTATCTTCCATCAGCCCTGTCCTTGAGAGACTGCACAAGGAAATAGAACAGGGGGAAAAAAGCTAGGGTCTCTCCAATTTTAAGAACTGGCTATAAAATATGAGAGAGAAACAATCATTTTTCTCATTCCTTCATTTGATGCTATTGAGAGACATAGTCTCAATAAATCATTAACTGATATGAGAAACAGTTCATAATAGGTTTCTAACTATGGGGCTTGTGAGAGAAAAAGGGAAAAGTCAATGAGCGCTTTGATAAAATCAAAGGGGGCAATCCCCTTTGATAAGTAGACCTTACAGATAAAGTGCAAAGGGAAAAAGAAACAGTAAGAGATTGTGCATTTCATAAGTCTTACTCCATACAGCCTTCTCTTCCTCTGGAAATATCTGATGCTATCCTGTGGTTTGGGTTGGTCTTACGAGTTCTTCTCTGGTTCAGGTCACTTGAAGAGATCTTCTCTGCTAAATATCTCCTGCAAAATTGATCTTAACCCAGTTTTAAATTTACTTTGCCAATAACCAGGTCAAGTAATGAAATGTAGTTCAAACCTTATGTCTCTATTACTAGAAAACCAAATTTGGAACCTTTTGAACCAGAGATTTCACATTTTTAGTGTAACCAACTGTCAAGTTGATATATCTAAGAAACTCATATTAAAACAGACAATTAGAACCCAATTTTTATACTTGGCATTATTCATTCCTCTATTAGGTGGATGAGATTCCACTGAGGAATTAACAACTGAACACTTTTCATAAGAAGATTAACTCTAATGCAAAAATTAATTCACATAAAAGTTGCCAGATTTACTTCGACTGTAATAGAAGGTCCCAGAATGGCATATATTAATATATTGAATAATCACTTGCCAAACAGTGTACATCAAGGAAGTTTTTTACAATAAAATATTTTCAATTTGTAGCCAGGTTCAAATGAATAACCCAGAACAAAAGTAGATTTCTCTTTAAGGCATTTGCGAGATAGATCACAAGCCATTCTTCTCTTGAGACAACTAATTGTACTGCTATGTTTTTATTAACACAGAACTGAGACAGTTATGATATTAACCTCACTAAATAACTGAATTATGATCTGGTTTCACAAGTCTTTGCATCATTTGCCTAATTATCCCCATATCATTGTGAGAAATTAAAGGTCCTTAGTTTACACAGGAATACAGAATTAGTTATGGGTGTTGTTAAGGCTAAATACTTAACTAGTCAGTTGTTTGGAATATAGAAAATACTAAAATTCTAGGCCAAATAGCTTAAATCTTATACCTGCATCTCACTATAGTAACTCAGATGTAGTTCAGATCTATTTAGCTGCATTTATACTGAGCACATAACATGATTATAGACATTTGTCACAAAAGAAGCATCAGACACATAGGGAATAATCCTTCCCTAACTTCAGGTCAATTCCAGGCCAGAGTTATCTAGATAGCCAACTGCAGTGAGCCAGGCTTAAAGTTAGCCAGGTGGGATATTTCCAATCAAGAGGAAATGTCATCCTGGGAAAGCTGAGTCAGGAAAATACTATCTTGGCCCATGCCAAGAGTCATTCTCCCAATCTTTGCCATGAGAACTCCACCTGTAGTTCATGGATGTCAACCCCATAGGGTTGATGGGATCATGGATCACTGGCTTGACAGCATTCCTTGATGATCATACTTGGATTACGACTCAGAATAATATCAGTTAACAGTCCCAAAAGGTCTTAAGTAGCAAGTTTCAATAATCATAGCTTGGGTGAATTCAGTTCTCAAGGATCACATATCCTTGGTAACAAGGACTATTATCTCACATTGGTAACAGTAAGAGATTCATCATGAAAAATCACAACTTATGTCATAAGTACTAATACGTAGATGCTTTGTCATCCCTAAGTTCAACATTATACACAGGATTTGGCTTTATGACACTTAATAATAAACAACAAAAGACTAGTGATGGAGTGTGTAAATATAATAATCCCAAATTGTACATAGAAAGCAGTTTATAGGAAAGACTGTCTATAGTAAAACATGCTCAGTTCCTAACCATATTCAAATGGACATAAACATAGACTACTACTCTTAGAATCCCTTTAAGCAATAGGAACTTCTTTAAAGTGACTCTTAAGTACTAATCCCAGATTAAATAACAAATATTAAGTAAAATCAGATTTCCCATTAAGGTGACACAAATAACCCAAGTTACTACTCTCCACTAACATAGCTAAGTGTACTTAAATCTTATTCCTTAAAGCATAAACAAAAAAACTTCTTGACTTCAACCTCATGACTTAATATGATCTGCATCTTTGTTTCTCAACCTTCTTTAACTTAGTCTAATTCTACTCATATCATCTGAAAGAATGAAATACTTCAGGAACTGAATCACATACATATGAAAAATTCAAGTACTAATTGAATTCTTTCTTAGGCCATGGAATGACTATGAATTCATATCATAATAGCAATATCTTCCCCACTTGCAGCTTATTACAGTAATTCAGGATTACTTTAATAATGTAATAAAGTAATTAGGATTACTTTAATAATGAACAGATTCAATGTTGCAGTAATAAGTTTCCAATGATTGTCTACCCTGATAATAGAAATTTGCTGTGAGAGTTAGAATCAGGAACATATTTATAACACTATCAAAACTGGTCCTCAAGGCCTACACCATTATCAGTAGCCTATCATATGGAACCAGGTGAACAGATTTTTTGTATAGGAAAATGAATGGAAAAGACTTAGTTTTCTCAAGGTACGCTCCTACCTTATTCCCAGGAAGAGATATTCACTAGTCTTAGCTCATCTATATCACTCCCATTGAGCTGTTACCTGCTGATGTTTTTCATAAAGGGCTCAATTTAAGTCAGTCTAAGGACACAACAAACCTGAGAGTGAAACTCCAGAAAAATATTCAGGATCCCAGAAAAGCTTTGTCCTCAAATAACAATACTACTCATACTAGGTCTGGACATATCAATACCATCAAATTATTGCAATAAGTTGGCTTACAAATAAAATTGATTAGGCTTTCTAAAAATTACACAAAATATCTTTACCTAAACATGTACACAAAATATTTATTCCTTAAACATTCCTTCCAAAAAAATTTCTTTCTTAATAAAAGCTTAAAATTAATTGTGATTTTAAAAAGCTAATCACTAGAATCTAATGAAGTAAATTAGCTGGAAAACTCTAAACTGACAGATATCTCTCTTATTCAACCTTAAAGCAAAAATAAACATTTAAAACTAGAATTTATCAAAACTAAATTGGTGTGAAATGTTTTAGGTATCAAATCCCAAAAGTGCTATTAAAAAAAAAAATAAGATCCTAACCATCACAAATTACCAAGTACCACCCTCCTTTAGTCAAAAGGTGCAGGTAATAGGGAGCTGATTCAGTTTTTCTAAACCAAAAGAAAAAATACCCAATCAAATTAGCACTATCACAATAACAAAGTTTACCAGGCCTTTAAAATTTTACTCACTATCCTTTTCCTCCTTTTGTCTTCTCCTAAGGTATAAATTCAACCTGATGTAAAATATACCACTAGAAACCAAGAAAATAATTAACATTCTGGAATACCACATAGACAGTGAATGTATGATAGTTCACTTAAATCCCTAGAAATACAGTACTGGCCAATTGCTGTAACCTCCAGATTAACATACATACACATATACATACATATGTATACATGCACACACATATACAAACACAAATACACATACACACACACACACACACATATCTTAGTGGACATTCACTCTCCATAATAGCAGGCTTGAAAATTACACTAATTACTGCCAAGTCCTTCCTTTTTGAGGAATCTGCTTGGTTGGAACTTATATTTTACTCCCATAGACCACCCCTGGAACACAGTAATGCTAGCATGGCTCAATGACATTAATTTCTCCCATTAAAAAGTATAATTATGGTAAGAAACAACTTCAAATTTCAAATAGATTCTAAACATATATTGAGGAATAGGGAAGTGTAGGATGATTCTCTACAATTTAAAGTATGCCTTATGCTGAAAAAGTCTGGAATCCATGGTAGATTCATGGAGTCATCAACCTAAGTGGGGTAAGAGAAGAACTAAAGGGACTAAAAGAGGAACAACTGAGAAATGGTTCCTTGAGGGCAAGTGAAATGAACTATGATCAATTCCATCTCAAATATAAGAATAGGACAATGAAGCTTTCCTTCTAACACAGTGCTTAATATACAGTTTTTTTTTCCTCAGTTTTGCAACTGAAAGAAAACAAATTCAGAGAGAGGTTTACTTTTTTTTTTAACTTTTTTTTAGGCAATTGGGGTTAAGTGACCTGCCTAAGGTCACACAGCTAGTAAATGTCAAGTGTTTGGTCTGAGGCCAGATGTGATCTCAGGTCTTCCTGACTTCAGGACCGGTGCTCTATCCCCTGCGCCACCTCGCTGCCCCAAGGTCTACTTTTTCTGAAGGAACACAGAAGTATTTCTTGAATATGGACATGTTATAGTAAGTAAAATTTGAGTATTTTTGTTGAGTATGGTAACTTGTGGTTTGTTACAGACTTGAAAATATGAAGATAATTCAATATTTTGAATTTCATAAGTGTCTCTTTCCCTGAAGCACACAGGATTAGTACTATTTGATATTAAAACCTTCCAGGTAGAGTTGTACTGTCTTTCTGGTCAATTAATTCTTGAACTGGGTGCTGAAGAATTAAACATCAATAGTCTCATAAGCCTTTCCTACCAGGTGACACTAGAACCCAATTACTAGAGCCACTGCCCTGGCTTTCATACATTCTCAATAAATGTCACAAACTATGGAAACAATTCTACACTGAATAATCACATTCGAAGGAGATTGGGTCGTCCATAAATAAATGCAGAGTGTAGTAGGCCTTTAAGTAATGTGCAGATGACATATTTCACTGCTATCTTTGCAGCAACAGCTATTCAAAATTGTGAATGTTGCTTGTAATATCACTTGGAAAGATTATTTAAAAGCTATATTTTGCTGGAGATTATTTTTTCATTAGAACTTTGTCCACTTTCTAAAGGGACCTATTCAAAATGTCTCAGTCCTCATTAGAAAGGTAATTCTAATAAAGTTGTAGGCAAAAGTAGAAATTCACCATCCAGGTAGATAAGTGGCTGCTTCCTCATTCATATAATTTTTCCTGCAAGTTGGCTCCATGTACTCTTCATCTAAAGGTGTGACAGGGGCTGTAAACCAAAAATACAAAGAGTTCAAAAATGGGTACACTTTTTCAGGGAAGCATTTTCAGGGAAAACGAAAATGTCAGACAATTCACTAAGCCCCAGGTTTCTGATGTATTGCCAATCAGATGAATCAGTGGAGAAGTTTCCAACTGCCAATTTGTTACACTGATGCAGACACAGATTTTTATAATCCCTACCCACCCACAAAAAAAAATTTTCATCCACTTATGTGAGTAATAAGGCAGTTGAAAATTCCCAAAGTAAAAATGGCCCAAAATCTAAAACTCTCTATTGTCATCTATTTGTAAATCAGATATTTCCACCACTGAATGAACATTAGTTTAGTAAACATGTAGAAAACTTCAATTCTACCCCCAGGGGTACTAAATAGGCAAAGATGAAGAAGGCGCAGCCTTTATTCTCAAATAACTAACATTCTACTTGAGTAATGATATAAATAAGTTTCTCTGAGTTATCCACCAAATTCTCCTCAATCCATATTGTAGCTTCACAGGAGTACTCAGTGCATCATTGGGCATCACGTCCCTATGAAAAACGAAGGGTGAAAAAAGAAACTCTGCTGTGGGTAGCTTTGGCAGTTGGGGAATTTGGTGATGAAATGGGAGTGTGTAGGAAAAGACTGTGTAGCAACAATTCTTGTGGGAACTGGAGGGAAAGTTTTTACTGGTATGGAACAAAGGTGGCCATTGAATGTTCCAATGAATGAATTGGTCCAATTGAATATCTCTAAATTTGAGACTAAGTATAGCTAGGTATTTACAAGAGGAAATCACCAAATCACCAAATATAAGAACAAAGTGAAAAAACATACCACCACTGTCACTGGAAGTTTCTTTGCTATTTGTGCTGTTTTGTACATGAGAATCTCCCTTGAACAAGAAGTAAAACTGTTAAATATAAATCCTCATTATAAAATATCAAAAGTATAAATATGCAATTTTAGTAAAACCACCACAAAACTCTCTATGCTGGTAAGGACCTTGGAAGAGGAATCCATTTGACTGTGGAAAGTCAGTCTACCTCTTTTCAAGAATATTTTCCCTTGCAGAACCTTTCATTAAGCCTATTGTTGGAGGCATTTTTGATAAATGAAAGTGTAAAATATTAGTTTGTGGGTTTCAACAAAACAAATTGAGATTTTTAGAAATTCAAAGAAGTTGAAATTGGAATGATAGCCCATAATGTATTATTTGCCATTCAAAAAAACCTCAAACAAACATGAAATACAATGAGTTTGTTTTCAGTATCAAGTATAATTGTCATATGATGGAATGAGTTTTTTTTTTTAAGAAACAAAACAGTAATAGTGTTTTAGAGCTGCAAATGTTGTCAGAGAAAGAACATGTGATCTGATCAACATAATTTTTACTAATGAGAAAACTGAAACCCCCTGAAATTATGTGATTAACTCATAGTCAAATGGAGAGTAAGGGCCCATCACTAATGTGAGGAGAGGAGGGGAATGAGTGACAATAATCAAGATGTTGTAACTGATTACTATATATAGAGATACCCATTGTTTCAGACCTTTAAAAATGGAATAGCAGGTATGTTCTACACTATTGTCCCCTTTGTAGCAGCATCCACTCAATTCTTCTTAATTTTACTATATTCATAGCTAATTGTAATGAAGAAATAGGATAAAGTACAAGCTCACCATACATGATGATCACCTGCATAATTCTTGAGCAATAATTTACTTACTTGTTACTACCTGATTTGGCAGGTTAACCTTGATGGTGGTGGCAATCTCAGGTTTACCTACAAGGAAAAAGATTTCAAATGGGAACTGCTAAATCATTTAGAGCACTGAGAAATGTCTAACTATTCTGTAAAGCAATAGGTTTCTAAAGAGTTGTTTAGTGGATGAATTGGTGCAAGAGGGTCACATGATGGAAGTTCCCTCCTCAGATGCAGCGCTGTGTTTTTGCCAAAAGAAAAACAATACCAAGAGAAACTGATTGCTTGTCAATTATGAATAGAAAGTCAAGGGTAGGTAAAGCCAAGATAGTCAGAGTAGTCTTGGAAATCATTCCATGTGGAAATGGAAGATTGAAAACAAGAGCTGTAACAGAGTTAGTTTTAGCCACTATTTAGGTAAAAGATAGTGCAGTAGCGAGTCTCACTTTAGCCATTAGAATGATAACTGCTGATATGGGAGTAGAGTAGCCATTAGATGTTTCAGTGAATGGATACTTTTTTTTTTCCTGCTTTTTGGTGAGGCAATCAGGGTTAAGTGACTTGACCAGCGTCACACAGCTAGTAAGTGGTCATGTGTCTGAGGCCACATTTGAACTCAGGTCCTCCCGACTCCAAGGCCGGAGCTGTAACCACCGTGCCACCTAGCTGCCCCCGAATGGATACTTCTTGATAAACTTTCATAAGTTGGAAACTCATTGTGATTAGGTATGATCGTTTACTTTGGGAGTTCCTGACAATTTCTGACAGTCTGTCATCTTCAAAATTTTCTCTAGGGTTTGTGAATATTTGTAAGTTTCACTGAATTTTATTTGAAACCCCATATTGGTTGAATGACTATATATTATCAAGCCTAAAAATATGAAAATTTAAAAAAAACTCACTTGAGTTATCATAATAGATCTCAGTGATTTCCTTAATCACTATGATATTCCCATCTTTGGTCTCACTAGATTACAAAGGTAATGCATTTAAATGTAATTACAATTTTAAAAATTATGAATAGGCCATAATGTTATCAGAAAAAAGGATTATTTTCATAATTATTCTCTTTCACCTCAGGAAGGGACTTTGCAAAGGAATCCATTTGACTGTGGGAGAATCAGTCTATATCACTCCAAAAATTATTTGCAAACTCTGAACCTATATATATATATTTTTATTTTTAAATTTATTTTCTTTTGAACTTGAGAAATAAAACAAGAATCTCTGTAAAAGGTAGAATAGAAAAACAGTGGATTGCACCTGAAATTGCAGATGTACAAGTTACTATTCCTTTCAAATATACAACAAAGTTATCACATAACTTTCTTTTTTTTCCTCCTTCATCCCCCAAACCTAGAGATGGCTACCATACAATTATGTAAACACATATATGTCAGTTTTCACTCTGGATCTAAACAATATCTCCCTTCACAAGATCCTTATGGTCAATATGGGTATTTATAATAGTCAGAATGACTTAGCTGCTCAAAGTTCTTAAAATAATACTGCTATTACTATATACAATGTTCTCTTGATTATGCTTATTTTACTCTTCCTTATTTATTGCAGGTCTCTCCATGCTTTTCCAAAGTCATTGAGCCCATCATTTCTTATAACAGAGTAATATTCCATTACTCACATATGCCACAATTTGTTTAGCCATTCCCCAATTGATGGGCATTGCTACAATTTCCAGTTCTTTGCCACCACAAAGACAGTTGCTGTAAATATTCTAGACTATCTCAGTTCTTTTCCTAGATTACCTTGGTGAACAGTGTTATTTCTGAGTCAAAGGGTAGGCAGTTTAATAACTCTTTGGGCATAATTCCAAATCACTCTCCAAAATGGTTGGATCAGCTCAAAGATCCACCAGTAATGAATGAGGATCCCAATTTTTCCACATCCCCTCTGATACAAATATGAATATACTTTTAATCAACTCACCAGGCTCATTCACATGATAGATCCCATTCTTTCCCTTATTTGGGGATTATTTCTGTTTTTGTTCTCCCTGAAGTAGAAAGAAAAACACTGCAATGTAAATACAATTTTAAAAAATTTCTGTGTGCCATGATGTCATTTCTCACAGGACCTCTTCTGTCACCTCATGAAGGGCCCTCACAAAAAATTCCATTTGATTGTGGTAGAGTTGGTCTATATCACTAAAATATTTTAAATTTCTGAACCTGAGTAACATATTCAACTTCCCTCTACAGTCATTACTTATTTTTGAAATATCAGTGTGATTATTGAAAAATCTAATTTCCAAAGAAGTCAACAAGGTAGAGAGAGTTGATGAACTACCACTTATCATAAAAGAAAGCATGAGAACCAAAGAAAAGGGTTATTTCTACTGTCACATCTCAACACTGTCAGAGTCGTGAAATCTTTGAAATTTTTTTTACATAGAGTGGGGACAGGCAAGAGGGTAGGTAAAAAAAAAATGGCCATCCATAATGACACCCTATTGTACTCATGAGAGAACTGAAGCACCTAAAATTTATTTGATTCACTCAGTCACCCATGGATTAGTAAAGTTGCCTCTCTGAGTCAGAAAGTGATGGTACATTCCTGCCTCCACCATGTATGAATGCTGCTTGACATTTGTTATTACATTTTGGGTGTAAGACCTCAAAATTGCATTGGTAGTATGTGTTTCCTCCTGAGAGGTCTTTATATTAATGCAAGTTCACTTCCCATCCCAAACCATATCCTTTTTTTTTGTTCTGTCAGGGCACAGTCTTGGGATTATTCATTCTACTTGTTTCCATGCTGACCAAACCTAACTTTTGGTGGAATCTGCTGGTCCAGAACCATTATTCTACTCCCACAGACCATTCCTGCAACATGATTATTGATTGGATGTAGCCAAATAACATTGATTTATTTCTCCCCTCCCAAAATGGTCATTATGGTGAGAAAAAAACTCAGATTTCAAATAGACACAATGCATCTTTCAGTGATGCGACTGGGCAGCATAATTCTCTACTCTTTAAAGCACTATCTTATGTTTAAATCACATGCATGAGTCTCTCAAGGAAGGAAATTTAAGAGTACTAGAGGAGGGACAATCCAGAAATAATTCCTTGAGTCCAAGCGAATTGGTCTAAAATAAATTCTCCCATGTAGAAACAGAAAACTGAACCTCTCTTTCAAGCATAAGTTTGCAAAGGTACATTTGTTTCTTTTTTAACTTAGTTTTGCAACTGAAATAACAAACATAGAAGTATATTTTCTTCGAAGGAATTCAGAAATGTTGCTTAAGCATGAACATATAATTAATATATTTTGAACACATCTGCATGGACGTTGTCCACTTATGTAGGGGGTTGGTAGGTTGCTCTGTAGATAGAGTGCTGGGACTAGAGTCAAGAAGACCTTAGTTCAAATCCAGTCACAGACATTTATTAGCTATGTGAATAAGATACTTAAGCTATTTGCTTCTAAAATGAGCTGGAAAAGGAAATGGCAAACTACTCCAGTATCTTTGCCAAGAAAACCCCAAATGAGGTCACAAAGAGCCTGGCGTGACTGAAATGACAACAACTTATGAGTCCTTACAGGTGGGATCTCTGTCAATATGTTGGAATTTTATAAGATATCCTTTCCCTAAGCGGGTGCTTGGTGATTTTGCATAGCAACAACCTGTAGTAGAGATATGTCATTTCTGGTCAATTTGTTCTTGAGTTGGGTGCTGGTTCACAACTATAATTCAACCCCAACTATCTTGTAGGCCTTCTATGGCAATTCCCAATTGGACCACTCAGCGCACTCTGCAATATGACTATTATACATTCTCTCTGAAGTGAAAGGACAGGGGACATGATGCTCCCCAGTATGATAAGATTTCATGAAGTGACTGACAGTAGCTGAAACCTTGTAACTGAGCAACATATAAATACATTTCCATTGAGTCAAGCATTTGAAATTGGATTTCCATGGAAGTTTTGTCTCACTGCCAATTTTATAGCAATGCTCATTCATTTTAAAATGCTAATTACAAATTGCGTTATTTTTGAGCTTTTTTTCAGCATAACTTATTATTTACAAGTGATATTTACTTTCAACTAGTTTTGTTTTTGCATTAGACATTTGAATCCTTATTAAATGACAGTGTTCAACATTTAATTTAATAAAGACATGAGCTAAATTAGAAATATACCATACATAATTATCACCTGGCTCCTTCTGGAACCATAATTTTCTTGTTCTTTCCCAATTTTGAGTGGTAATCATTTTTCTGTTCAACAGTTCCGTGAACCTCACTTTCATCTATATTGATAAAGAGTTCAAATGTGAATTGCCAAATTATGAGAGCACTTAGAAAAGTCAGGAGCTAAAACCTTATAACTGAGCAACATATAAATACATTCCCATGATTTCAGAGCCTTTAGGAATGGATTGCTATGGAAGTTTTGTCTCAGGGCTGGCTTTGCAGCATTGACCATCAGTTTTAAATGCTAATTGCATGTTGCCTTATTTTTTTGAGCATGATTTATTATTATTTATTAGTGATATCCTCTTTCAGATACAGTTTTTTTGAGGGGGGCAGGAAACATTTGCTTACTGAAATGACCATATTCAAATTAAATGTAATGCAGATATGGACTAAAGTAGAAGCTCACCATTTATAATGACCGCCTGCTCCTTCATGAACAATGTTTTTTTTCATTGGTTCCTGCTTTGGACTGACCATCCTTTTGAACTGTGCCACAAACTTCATTTTCGTCTACAAATAATAAAGAGTTCAAGCGTGAACTGCCAAATCACTCAAAAGCACTTTTAAAAAGTCAGGGAATTCCTTAAGGCAATAGGATTCTAAAGAGTTGTGGATTGGATGAATTAGTGGAGGAATGTCCCTTATTCCTTACTTTGTACCAAAAGAAAAACAACACAAATGAAAAAGGATTACTTCAATTACAGCTAATTTCTGAAGTATAAAAGGCTTGAAATCTAAAACTTTTGTTGTCATCACTTGGAAGCCCAGAGACAGTATGGATTAAAGCAACTACTTGAGAAGGCATGAGAAATAAAGATGAGTAAGGCCACAGCCTTTGTTTTCAAGCAGCTTCCAATTTCCTTGAAGAATGTTATAATAGTTTTTCTAGGTGATCTACTAAGGTCTACTTAATCCATACTGCAGAAGGATAAAAATATTCAGAGTACCTCATTTGGCTATCATTTGCCATGGAAACATAAGGTAGAAAATAGCAACTCTGACGCTAGTAGATTTGGTCACTGGTTGGGATAAATGACTGTACAGCAGTAAGTCTTACTTCTGCAGTTAGAAAGAGATGTACCGCCAGTCATGACTTTTGTCTTGCCACTGGACTCCGATGACTCTGAAGGAGAGGCACTGATGATTCTGTGCAGTTCTGCCTCACTTAAATCCAATTCATGGGCAAGTCAAGACATCACCCGTGTGACATCATTGGTCTTCTTCCAGAACAAGTGATGAACAACCACAACATTATTGTAGCTCTTTTCCCTCATCCTCTTTACCATTCGTCATTTCTGATGTGTAAGATGGTACCTCAAAATTATTTTAATTTGACTTTTTCTAATCAGTAGGGATTTAGAGCATTTGTTTCCATGTTACAGTAGATAGCTTTGACGTCTTCTGAAAATTGCCTATTTATATCCTTTGACTGTTTATTATTTGGGGAATGGCTCCAATTTTTATAAATTTGACTAAGTTTCTTATATATGTCATAAATTAGTCCTTTATCATAAAAACTTAATGCAAAATTTTTTGACAGTACTTCATTGTCTAAGGTCCCTTTTAGCAAAATGTACTTTCCCTAATTATCTCTTTTAATTGGGTCTATTTTTGCTTTTGCTTTGTCTGAGATCATAATTTCTACCTCTGCTGGTTTTTTGTTTTTTATTTCAGCTGAAGGATAATAGATTCTGCTGTACTCTTTATTTTAACTCAATCTGTGTCTTTCTGTTTCAAGTGAGACTCTTGCAAACAAATTATTGTTGGATTCTGGCTTCTAATCCATTCTGCTATCCACTTATGTTTTATGAGTGAACTCATTCGATTTATATTTATGGTTAAGATTACTGTGTATTTCCCTCCATGCTATTTTCTTCTTCTTTTTATCCTGTCCTTCCTCAAAAGTCTGTTTCGCTTCTGACTACTGTGGCCCCCAATCTGCCTTCTGTTTTGAAACACTCTCCCCCCAAATCTCTTATCCCCTTGTTCTCTTATTTCACTTGGTAAGATTTCTAAACCCAGCTGAGTGTGTACACACAATCTTCCCTCTTTGAAGCAATTCCAACAAAAGTGTTCAAACATTTCCCACCATGCCCCTCCCCAACAATTTCTCCTCTATTATAAAGCTCTTCCTTGCACACCTCTTTTGTATGAAAAAATTCCCATTATACCTCTCCATTCCCCCTTTTCCCTGTACATTTCTTCTCTCTTGCCCCTTTACTCTTTTTGGAGATCATCCCAACATAATTGACTCATACTCAAGCCCTCTGTCTATACAGATTCCTTCTAACTGCCCCTTTTTGTGCTTTTTCATGCTTATGGGTGTCTGCAAGTTTCTGGTGCTTCCAAGGTGGTATGATCTGGGGAGGGGTGTGGTCACCGCTCTTCTGGTCTGCACACTGGTCTTGGAGCCTGGTGTCCTACAGCCATACGTGCTAGCCCTTCTCTCTATCTTAGAACTGGGACCAGGGCTCTTACTTCTTTGTGACTGACCACAAGCACACCTCTCTACTCTGGAACTGTAACCCAGAACTGTGTATAGGCAACACAGTTGCCAATCAGCACCTGTTGCGCCCAGTGCCAGCAAAGGGTCCCTTGTAATCTTTTTCTGACCAACTGTCCAACCCCCTTACTATAACTGGGCTGAGAGTTCCCCAAGCTGCTACTGTTGCTGCTGCCACTATTGCCTCCAAGGCTCACTGCTGGTGCTGCTGCCCCACTCTGTGCCAGGTAAGTATGCACTGCAGTGTCATAGACCTTTCCTGCTGACCTACTAAGTTGTCTCAGGCTGGAAAAATGTCTCACTCTGACTTTTTTTGGCTCCTGCTACTCCAACATTTTATTTTAGGAGTTATTTTGGAGGGGGAATGGTGGGAGACTTCAGCTGGGTTTGCTGCCTGTACTCTGCCATTTTGACTCTGCCTCCTGGGTGATTTTTTTTATTCATGCATTTTCAATCAACTCAAAGGACTGTGAAAACAATTCTGTGAAAACGCTGTGGATCACATATCATATATGTACCTTCCTCCATCACAGCAGTGCCCATTCATTTTTAAACATTGTGATCATTTTTAGACTTTAAAAACTACAAAAGTCTAATGTAAAAAAAAACAGACAAAACAATGAACCATCTCTTGAATTATATCTCTTGTAAATAATCTTTCTAATCCTAAAAGTATGGGCCTAAGCAACTAGAGTTTAAAAGTGAATAGGCACTTCTATGCTGAAGGAAGGGGCATATATAATCCATAATGTTTCTGCTTCCTAAAAGACCTGTTAAACTCTATTTATGTATTGATCAATTAGAAGGACATTGTTGCTGTCAGTCAATGCACAGAAAGTCAATTCTTCAATACATAGTTGTTCCCACAGTCCTTTGAGTTGACTGAAAATGAACAATGAAATGAATAAAAACAACCCCCTCCCCCCCAAAAAAAACCAGGAGGTAGAGACAAGATGGGGATTAGTCTTAACTGTGAATGTGAATGGAATGAGTTCACTCATAAAACAGAAGTGGACAGCAGAAAGCATTAGAAGCCAGAATCCAACAATACGTTGTTTTCAAGAGATTCACCTGAAACAGAAAGACACACACTGAGTTTAAAATAAAGGGCTGGAGCAGAATCTATTATCTTTCAGCAAAGTAAAAACAGCAGGGGCAGTGATCATGATTTCAGACAAAGCAAAAGCAAAAATAGACCTAATTAAAAGGGATAATTAGGGAAACTACATTTTGCTAAAAGGAACCTTAGACAATGAAGTAGTATCAAAAATTTTTACAGTAAGTTTCTCTTATAAAGGCTGAATTTCTCAAATACATAGGAAACTTATTCAAATTTACAAAAATTGGAATAATTTCCCAAATGACAAATGATCAAAGGATATAAACAAGCAGTTTTCAGAAGATGACATTAAAGTTATCTATAATCATGTGAAAAAAAATGCTCTGAATACTTACTGATCAGAGAAATTTACATTACAATAATCCTGAGCTACCATCTCTCACCTAATAGAAATGAGAAGTGGTGGAGAGGATGACAGAAAACAGGTACACTAATGTTATTGTTGTAATTGTTCATCATTGTTCTCAAAAAGCACCAATGACATCACCAGGGTGATGTCTTGATGTGCCCATGAATAAGACCTATGCTTTAGGAAAATGACTGAGGACTGAACAGACACACTCCTGGCGCAGGCCAACTAACCAGAAGAATACTGTAATAGTCCAGGCGAAAGGAGATGAGGGCCTACATAAGCAAGGCAACAGTTATCAGAGGAGAGAAGAGCGCATATTCAAGAGAAAGTTGCAAAGTGGAAATTGAAAGGCTTTGGCAACAGAATGAATGTGAAAGGTAAAGAGAGAATGAGAAGTCAAGGAGGGTACTTAGATTGTATTTCCGGAGGACTAGGAGGATTGTGTTGCCCTTGATAGCAAGAGAAATTATAAAACAGGGCAATGTTAAGGGGAATAATGAGTTTAGTTTTGGAAATGTTGAGTTGAACATATCCTCAGGATATATCAGATGCTAGACTGGAAGTCAGCAGAGAAGTTAGTACTGGATAAGCAGATCTGAAAATCATTAGCAGAGAGAATTGAATCCATGGCAGGTGATGAGCTCACTAAGAAAAATGGTAAACAGGGAGAAGAGGGCTCAAAGTAGTGCCATTCTCCTTTACTGATTCATCACCCTGGTCACCTCTGCCTACCTTGGGTGTCCCACAGTATACGAGAATGAGAAGAGAGTGGCCAGAGAAGTAGGAACATAACCTGGAGGGAATATAAAATGTAGAGAGAGGAGACTGTCAAAGAGAAGATGGAGATCCACAATGTCAAAGGCTGCTGGAGAAAGGTCAAAAAGGGTGAGGATTGAGGGAAAAAAAGCCTTTGGATTTGGCAATTAAGAGGTCACCAATTTCTTCAGAGAGCATTCAGCTGAATGACGAGGTAGGTCATAAGTTGGATGTAGAGAGTGAAGAAAGTGAGAGGAGAAATGGGGGCAACTATTGTAGGTGGCCTTGAGTTGAGCTACAAAAGGCAGGCTAGCTATGGGACTAGTTAGAAGGGATGCAAAGATCAAGGGAGGGTTTTTTATGGATGGGGGAGACGTGCATATTTGTAGGCAGAAAGAGACTGTAGATAAGTGAGAAAGCGAGCATGATAGAGGATAAAACCTGCTGGAGGAGATGGGATGGACTAAAATAATTTCTGCAGGTAGAGGGGTTTGTTTTGTCAAGAAGAATGGCCACATTCTGCATATGAGATGAGTGAAGGTGGAGTTAACAGCAGAAGGCATCTGAGTGTTATTAAATGAAGAGGAAGGAAAACAGGGAGCTCTCCAGGATGCAGCAGGACGTATCGAACAACACGCTGAAGATGACAGCAAAATTGATTCATGAAGTTTTTGCCTCCCACATTGGGAAGTTGTTTAGACCCATTATTGCCCATATCAACCCCCTATGTGTACTACTCCTTCAGGCCTTCTCTTTTCCCTCCCCTTCCCCTCACCCTGCCCCCCCCTTTAAAAAAAAAGGTAGGAAGGGCAATATGATTAGATGCCATGAGCCTGTATAACTCTGGGAATATGGGTTAACCCTTTAATGTCAAGCTGTAGGCTTCTTATTTAATGAGGTGTAACAAATGTTAAGAACATGCCCCTGGAGATGGTGTAGTGCAGATACACAATGCCCTTCTGTAAGGGCAGCATGATCTGTACCCATTAATGTGCTCCAGGTGTTTTAATCCATGTAGAATCTTTATCAGTAACATTCTTGGCAGATAATTTTCTTAAAAAATTTAAGTTATTAAACAGGATTACATACCCCCCCCCAAAAAAGAAAAGAAAACAGGGAGCTCTCAGTAAATAGGCTCCCATTTTTTCAGTAAAATAAGAGGCAACATTCTCAGCTGTGTAGGTGGTGGAAGGGCCATGGGAGGCTTGAGATCTGATGAAAAGGTCTGGAAGAGGGGCTATTTCAAGTGGGTAAGTGAATGAATTAAAGAAGTACCTGTGGTAGTGAAGGTCCCTTTAAGGCCACGTAGCATAAAAACATAGCATGGAAAATCTGACTGATCCAGTCAGAACAACTGAATGATTACAACAGAGTATATGTAGAAGATAAGGCTCAGGCTTGGCTTGGTATAATCAGATAGGATACAATAAAGGGACAAAGGACTTGACAAGAGTTGGCCTGGCTCACCAAGGGCTCAAGAAAGGGAAAGGAGAGGAGTGGTAGTGAAGGACTGGATGGCCTCAGAGAGAACTCTGAGAGGTTGAGGGACAGGAGGTCACAGTATGAATAAAAAGCAAGATTTAGTATTGGAAGGCAGAGGAGATAGAGGAAAGCCTATTGACTGTGATCAGAGAACAGAATCTTAAGAGTTCATGAACATGGAAGTGGCACATTTGTGGCTGATGACAAGATCAAGGGTATGATTATCTTTGTGTATGGCTGAGGTGGAGTACAGAAGTGGGTCACAAAAAATGAGTAAGAACTGGGAGGTTAGGGTATTTGTTGAAAGTCCCCTAGCATGATAGCAGGAGTTCGCAAGGAGAAAGACTGTGGGTCAGTTACTAAACTTACTGAGGACAGAATGGAAGAATCTTGTCAAGCAGCAGACAACAGCTACTGAATTTTGATTGGTTGGCAGATAAGAGATTGAGTGAAGCTCAAAGTCAGACAGGTTATTGAATCACAGTGGTAAAGAGAGAACCTGGAAATGGGGAACAAGGCTCCCCAATTGGACCAGGAGTCAGAAGTCAGGTGGGGGGGAAGGGGAGTAAAAGTAGTCAGTGCTTGAAATGGTGGCCAGGGAAGCTGTGTCAACAGCAGGGATTCAGGACTCAGGGAGAACCAGAAGATGGAAGGAGTGGGGAAAGAAAGGATCTAAGATGAAATCAAATTTGTTTCCTATGGAACAGACACTCCAGAGAACATAAATGAAAGGATGGTAAGCTTAAGAATGGGACACTGGGGGTAGGGAAGGGAGTGCTGGATTGACACAGATAGGAATAAGAGAGGCCAGGCAGGGTGACAGAGAACAAGCTTTCAATACTGATAGCTGTGAGAGTTCAGCATCACTCTGATATTGATAGCATGACCAGTGGGAGTTGGTTAATCATTAAATAAAAAATGTCAAGACATTTTTCAGTGTCCAGAGTTTGATGACCCCAGGGTAGTTCTTTAAAGCCTTGGAAGCCACTGAGGTGAGGGAGCAAGATGTTGGAGCAGAAGTGGTGACACTCTCCTTCCTCCAAGTCAGGAGATAGGACAGGAAACTTGAAGGAATGGCACCCTTTCCCTTCACCTCAGGGGCGGGAGACTATGATGAGGGAACAGGACTTCTCTTCACAAAGGAGGCTGGAGACCAGACTAGCTCAATCATCACTAAAGGTAAATTGGTTTAAAACCTGAATTCTGAGCAAGAAAACTCTGGAGTGTCCCCCTATGGTGGACCCACATCCCTGGAAGGATTAGCAAAAAGGGAGGTGCCAGCTAGCAGTGTAAACAAGAAAAGTCATCTGAATGATGATGGTGAATGGCATGATAACAAGCCAAACGTCGAATTCCATCTCTACCCATTGGTCCTCAGCTTTGAAAATGAAAAAGAAAGATCTTTTGTAGCTTTGAAAATAACTTAGTGTTCTGGACTGTTCTGCGTCCCAAAGTCCAAAGCCTCATTCCTGGCTCTCTCGTGTCTTCAGGCCCATCTATGTCAAAGCTGTCCCTACAGGGCCCAACCCCCCCCAGGTGACCCTACTTGGACCTGATCTCCCCCACGTGCCTCACGCACCCCCAAACCTCCCCCTACCTGGGCTGGCTTGGTCCCCCATTCCTTCCTAACCCCCCAAGTGCTTTCAGGGTCAGGGGTCGGGGTACCAGCCGGTGGGCATGTGGGGTGGGGCTCACGCAGCTTCCTCAGCCCCCAGGATGACACTTCTCCTCACGGAGGCCCACACTGTGAACCTCGAGCTGCCCTCAGTCTCCAGGCAGGGGAACCTGCTGTGGCTCCAGGGCAGAGGCCAGAGGGCGCCAGCACCAGCCTGTGCCTTCCACAGGGCCCCAAAGTGTGTCTGACAGCAGGCGGCCATTGTGGGCAGTAGGCTGGGAGGATGGGGGAGGGGGCAAACGCTAGCATGTTATTATCACGTGGCTTCCAGGGGCGGGGTGTCCTGGCCGCGGTCCAATGAGCGGGATGTCTTCCTGGTAGGCAGGGTGCGCTGAAGTGTGAGTAAGGGCGCCTCAGCCACATGGCTGGGCTTAGACTTGGTGCAGAAGGCCATGGACCTCTGCAAGTGTAGGCCGGGGGAACTGCTCCCGGCTGAGCCCAGCTTCCCCCCACTTCCTGGGGCCTTTTCTCGGGTACAGGAGCTTCAAGAATGAAGGGTGCCTCCCCCCCAGACTTTTTCCTGCCAGCATTGAATAAACTCTGTACTTTGGCCTTGTGCGACTTTTTAGACTCAGTCCCAGCAACCTCTGCAAAGGACCTCCCCCTCACCCCTCACTCCCCACCCCTACCCATGCCCCCTGCCACATCTTCCTCTCAGAGGCCAGGTAACGAACTGTGTTCCAGTTTGGATATTTATGTAGAATGTATCAAGGGTGTGTACTTTCTTTGGTGGGACTGAATAAATTTTCTTCCTCTTATTATTTATTTATTTTGCTTTTGGGTGAGGCAATCAGGGTTAAGTAACTTGCCCAGGTTCACACAGCTAGTAAGTGTCAAGTGTCTGAGGTCAATTTTGAACTCAGGTCCTCTTGACTCCAAGGCTGTAGCTCTATGCACTTTGCCACCTAGCTGCCCCTCTTCCTCTTGAGATATATAAGGCAAATGTTTGTTCCCATAAATTTGGAGCAAACAGAAAGTAACTAAGTAAAATGAGATAAAGCTGGTCTTATCTTGTTTTGCTGTTAGAAGTTAATAAGTAGGACAAAGGTTAAGCTTTGCTTAGAGTGTGCATACTTAATAGGCTAATAAATATTAGCTTCTCCACCTCCAGGAGGGGCTAAAATGCCATTTTCTGAACATGGAATGTATGAAGAAGGCGGGAGGACATGTCAAGGAGCAATTGTGTAATAGGCATACCAGAAAGTTCTACACTCTAGAGTACTTGCCAATTACCAAGAACACTAAGAAATGTCAAATTATTCTGTAAAGCAAAAAATTTCTAAAGAGTTGTTAAGTGGATGAATTAGTGCAAGAGGGTCACATGACGGAGTTCCTTGCTCAGATGCAATGCTATCTTTTTTCCAAAAGAAAAGCAATACCAACAGAAATTGATTGCTTGTCAGTTATTATGAATAGAAAGTCAAGGGGAGGAAAAATTGTCACTTATTATGTCAAGGGGAAGAAAAAAGCCAAGGTAGTCAGAGTAGTCTTAGAAATCATTCTACATGGACATGGAAAGACAGGAAAACTGGAGCTGCAACAGAGTTAGTTTTAGCCACTGTTTGGATAAAGGATAGTGCAGCAGCGAGTCTCACTTCAGCCATTAGAATGATCACTGCTGATATGGCAGAAGAGTAGATCAGGCCTGCACAATCTGCAGCCCACCAAAGGATTTTGGGCAGGTTGCAAAAAATATACAGGATTTTTTTCCCTCTACATTATTTGTGGGCTGCCCAAAATCCTTTGGCCAGCTTCAGGTTGTGCAAGCCTGCTTTAGATGTTCCAGTGAAAGGATACTTCTTGATAAATGTTTATAAGTTGGAAATTCTTGGTAATGGTATGGAGACAATTAAGTCAAGGGCTTGTGACAATGCCATTTTGTTATTTGGCTAATATGATACTTGTCTAAAGTTTTCTTAACAATTAATGTCAAAAACAAGAATGGCTTGTGGTTTATTTTGTAAATGCCATCAAAGAAACATGGCATGACTAAAAGTTTAAGATCTTATATGTACTGTGTTAAAATTGATTATTTAATATATTTATGTATGTACTGGAGCCTGTTATTAATTCCTTAGTGAAATCTCATCCTCCTAGTGAGGAAATTAATAATGGATTAATGTAAAGTATCAGACACTGGTTTGTGATGTGAATTTCTTAAACATGACAATTGGCCATGGTTCCAATTTTGAGTTTGTAAAAATGATCAGGGTTATAAGGATTAGCAATGGTAATTTCAAATTGTGCTAAAGTCACGTTTGTAGGAGAATGCACAGAAAGCTGGTTCCTACAAGAAGACAAGAAGAAGAAGATGCTGAGATGCTGTGCTGGAGGTGGCTGGAACAAATACCAAGGACCAGAGGACTTCATAGAGGATGTTCCCTGCCAGACAGTTATGTAGGAAAAGACTTTTTGAATCTTAAAGGGACAATTGCATTATTGTTTTCTTCTGGGTCTCTGTATCTGTATTTATAAAGGAACTGTCCCTTTGATTTGTCAATGTGGAGATCAATCCTTCCCATATTTACTTAAAGGGGTGATGGTTAGAGAGAGAAGAAAAAGAGCTGAGAAGAATTTGAATTCAGATTTAATAGAATCCTAAGGCTAGGTGTTTGAATTGCTATCTTTGTGTCCCTCCGGGGGCAATGCATTTAGAGTTAAAATAAACAAATAAATAAATACAAATGTAAATAAATAAGTAAATAAGTAAACAAACAAATAAATAAGTGAATAAGTAGATAAATGAATAAACAAACCAACAAATAAATGAATAAATAAACAAATAAATAATGGTTGTTATAAAAAATTATGTGATTGTAAAATGCTTAATACAATGGTGTATGTCAAAATGCAGAATTATTATTATTTAATGTAATTGTTAAAGGAACCAAGAGTGCCAAGTGTTAAAGCTGTCATAAGCATGATAATTTCTATATGTGATAATATGGAAATGCAATTGATGTTATCTGAATTTTATTGTTTGTGTAACAAAAGTTATTACTGCTTCTAAATTGTATTGTATTTCTAAAACTCTTAGATTGTAAAATTTGAGGGGAATTATTATCCTACTCCTGGTGCCTCTCCCCTGTATGCAAGAGTCCCTGTCCTGCCTGGTTAAGATAGAAGGGAAAGGAGAAATTAAGCTGATGGTTCTGAAGAGTCAGGGTTGGGTGCCAGTCCAAGACCACCCTGATGGTTATTAAGATTTAGTGGGTGTGAGGAGGCTTCAAATTGTAAGAAAGGAGAGGGGAATTGTGAGAGATGTGAAGCCCCTCCAGAGGGTCATTAGTTCTTGTTAATGGTTCTGGTCTTGTTGCTTTCAAAACCCTCCCCCGCTCAGACTCTGTTTTTTTAAATACTTAGCAAAAAAAGAATAGGCCTACCCCCAACCTGAACTGCTTGTCCTGGCAAAACTTCCCGCCTTTTCTTGTCTCTGGGAAAACTTGTGTAATGGCCTTTGTTCTCTGTTACTGGGTAAGATGTCCATGAATAGATTGTGTACCCCAAAGCCCAGCCAATGGGATAAGGGGAAGGGGGGTTAGGGAGGGAGAACTGAGGTAAGGGCCTATAAAAAACCTGCTTTATCTGTGTTCTGTGAGGTCTGACACTGAAAGTTTATCTCAGTGTTAGCCCTTTTGCCCTTTCTCTCGAGATCGTAATAAAACTCCTTTCTGTTTTCTACCATGAGAAGCCTCAGAGTTTGATTTGGGAAATAAGGATAGCTGTCCCACACATTACATTCTGAAGACCCCTCACACCATTCTTTAAGCACCTTCTCAACCAAATCTCCTCCCTCAGGGTCCTGACATTCCTCAGTTTCCACTGGAACCCAGCCTTCTTTTTTTAGTACCATCAGCCTTACAGATCCTTCCTCCCTTCCTTCAAGTCTGACCATTTTAGATAATGCCTCCTGCACTGTTTTAGTTATTAGTTGCATCATGCAGGGAAGACAGACTGGGAGAAGTATGATCCCACTAATTGCAATAAGTACAAACCAAAGGACCTGCTTCCACCAGCTCCCACCAAACCAGGACCACCAAGAGACGTTAAAAGAAGTTTTCCAACTTTGTACGGGGACGTGTGCAATTTTTCTGATATTATCTGCTATGTTTTTGACAATTTTTCCATTATCATCAATTTTTATGCAAGAGGTAGAGAAGTTTCATTTCCCTCTTCTGCCAAGAGATAATCCAGTACCAGCCTATGCTGTAAAATAGCTTCCCTGCTTTGAGTCATTTGATCTGCTAATAAGTGCACGGCTCTGGCTGTTTGGTTGGTGATGATCTCCACCCCAGCTTGGAGGCAGATAAGTCTGCTTAACAGGTATATAGGGGTCCTGTAGCCCCAACCCCCATCTTTGCCAAGTGGATGGCCCATATTCTGTGACAATTCTTTCTGGGGGCCATGTGTCTCCCCACCCATTAGCATCCCCATTGCTTGTCAGGGAAGTGTCTATAGTTCTTGTCTGTCTACTTATGCCATCATACACTTTTACACCTAAATGGTCCCCTTCCTCCCCAGGAAGGAAGAAGAATTTGGGCCTCATTATACTAGTATAACATGCTCCTGTCCAATTCATTGGCAAATGGGAACAGGCGGTTAACCCACAGATCCAGTAATGTCCTTTGAGGGCTGGTTGTTCTTTGGAGAAAATGATTGTACTATCATCAGTTACAGGGAAATATTGCATATCCTTGTCCCCCAAGGGCCTCCCTCTATAAGTTACTGCAGGGCTGGTTACATACCTGCACCTCCATAGTTGATACTTTTCTTTCCAGGTGCAGGTCTCAATATGGGGATCAGAGGTCATGTTTGTTCGGCTCCAAAAAGTGTCAAAATACCCAGACCAGGTTGAATTGTGCCATGCCCAATTTAGCTTGGGAAAAGTCAAAGTGCCGACTCCCTTATTTTCCTTACCTAAAGCTTGGGTGGGGTCTCCTGTATAACAACTGTGGTGAGGATCACTATCCGTCAGTTTATATTGATACCAGGTCAGATCCCTTATCTTATCGTGACAGGGGAGCCAAGTTCCATTAAGACATTGAATGTGACTCTCATTCCACCTACCAGCGTATTGGGTACAGTCTTCCTTAGTCTCTGTTACTGTAAGTCGGGAAGTCCAATCACAGGTACTTCTCCCTAGCCATGATCCTTTACCGGTTTGATTCAAACAATATCTCCCCCTCCTCAATTCAGCTAGG